CCCCAAAACCCCAAAACCCCAAAACCCCAAAACCCCGAAAGTATGTATAAGATCCCAGTGTTTGTATCTAATATTAATAGAGGAATTTAGTGTCAAAAATTTTATCAAAAAATATTTTATCTAGATAATTTTGATCTCAATGCATTATTTTGTTGTTCTTCAAGTCGTCCTTTTGTCCTATCATATATGAGGACTCGAGAGTTTGCTCAACTTCCTTCCATCTAGAGGATTTAAGAGAGAAATGCATCAAAAGTTTAAGATTCAGATTATTTATAGATTTGTTAAAAAGAAACAAAAATGTATTCCGGTAAGAAGCAAGTACCTTTTGGTTGTTCTCATTGTTCCCTAAATCCTTTACCATTGTTGTGCTAGTTCTAGCTTTTGCATGGACCTTCTTTCTAATACTTGAGCATTTATTTCAGATAAGAAATATCAATGGAACGATACTAATCAAAGTCCCGATCATTGGACCTGAGAGGAGTGATTGCATGTAAATATCTTCTTTAGTAGAAGACCAGTCAGATTCGAATCGGAGAAACACCAGTGGAATTATGGCCAAAGTAAAGTTGATTTGGTTGATTCCTTCAATTATATTGTTCACAATTGATTCGTAAGGCCTTACTATCAATACATACAGAGTTGATGATAAATATGTGACGAAGAAGAGACTTCACTTTATGTAGTAAACTGCATGATCCTTGGTTGACACCTCACTTCTCTGTCTCCCTGTTGCATTCCCAATCATGATTATTGTTAAAACAGACAGAAATCTGACGAGGAGGAAGCACAGAGAGTTGAATTTTGCAAACTTGGACTTCTTAATCCCTGAGAAGAACTCATGTATTGACCAGTGATTGTGAAATTCAGAATGTTCATTTTCACTAAAATATTAGACCAGACTTACTATCCATCAACGAAAGAAGCAACTGCTAGCACAGTGAAAATAAATAAGCCAAAAGAGAAGAAGAAGCATAAGATCAGGGAGATGAGGCCAACAGTAGAATGATAGTTGAAACTCTTGAGCTCTGCAGAAATTGAAATTACATGGAACATAAAGCCTTGAATAATAAGTCTGATGTAAAAGTTAAATGTCATGTATTGGAAAATCACTTTGATGATCTTCTTTCGCTTCTTTAACTTGTGGGAGTTTCGAGAAAAACTATATATAATACCTATAAGCGCATGGACAAGGAATACGAATAAAATAAACACCATGATTCCTAGATAGTTTATAATAGAGCTGCTTGAAGTTAGGCCAATATCATTCAAATAATTATCCTTTTGAGGGTAATCGATTGCTTCTTTTATTTCTTTAACCAAAGGAATGTCATCAACTGGAATGAAGTCAAACGATATAAATGAAAAGTCAACTCCCAGAATGAACTGCCCAACTTTGGCTGGGAAATATGGAGGCAACATTGGCAGCAAAATATACAGCTGGAACTGGTTGATAAGAGCAAACATTCCTACTGGAGAACTCATTGTTGCCATTGACAATGTCATTGAAATTACGACTCCAACTCCTGCCATTGACTGTCCCATGACAGCTGCAGTTTGAGCATCTGCTTCTACACATTGGTCTTTGCTGTCACTGAGTGTGTAACCGACACTTCACTCTGATCACAATTCCGGATCGTCAGACTGACATGTCTGTCAGTTGTTGACTGCTCACTGTTTGACTGTTATATAAAACTTCTTTAGGACTGACTCTGTTCCATCATCAATGGTCAAAGCGAACTTGTATAGAGTGTCTTTGGAGACTGCAGGTGTCTTGTTTAAAGTCAAAATCTCGCTATTAGAGTCAAGATAAACCCAATTTGGCACTTTTTCATTATCCAGAGGCTGTAGACTGAAGGATATGGCAGATACGTTGGACGAGTGGGATCACGCCCAAATGAAAGAAACATTAACTAGAGATTGAGAAAGATATGATTTAGCAAAATCATCATTCCAAAAGACTGTAATATATTCTTCCTCTGTGGTAGTTACACTTATGTCACTAGAACTTATTGTCGCTAAAGCTTGTGGAATCATAGTGTGTAAAGAATGAGTCAAAGCTGCTATAGACCCAGGATCACTGATTACAAAATCTGTGGTGATCTTTGAAAACGTAGAAGTCTTTTGAATTAATAAGCTGAACCTCTCAATCTCGTTGATTTTGGATATTAGAATTTTATAGTCTCTCGAGAGTTCTCCTGCCAATACAATGTATTCTGTCCTAGACTTCATGATTCTTGTAGACGAGAAGAACTTAGTTGTGCTGTTTGTGTATTCTTTCGAAACTGTGCATGACAGCGGATCAATGATAATGATATCCCAATTTGATGATGACAAAGGCTGAAAGACAACAAACACTGAATCTCCGAAATCATTAATATCATTAACGAAGTTGGAGTCACCCGAGGATAAGAGTCCAGGACACACTGCATTTCCAGTAGAAATATCGAGAGTGTGATACATCAATCTGCCACCGAATGCATTCATTGAGTAAATGAATTTTCCGTTGTTGCTTACGATGGATTGGGACATCTTGGTTGTACAAGATGAAGAACAAGTTATATATTTGCTCCAGTTGAAGGTTGGAGGATTTTGTAGGTTGATTGAAACAAAGTAGAGGTTGTTTTCAAAAGCTTTCATGGTAGCCATGAAAGCTTGATTCTCACTAATCGGAATATAGTTGACATTAGAACTATGCCCATAGTAATATCATTCAGTCGAAGTTGTAAGTCTTTGCCATATTCACATGCCACTTGCAGTAAAATCTTGAGAACTTGCAGAGTAAAACACTTTGTTTCCAAATGTATCAACTCCAAACTGAGACCTGATGACCAAATTTGATATAGAATCAATATTAACAATACCTAGGTCAGTAGAATTGACTTCCATGATCAATGAAGTTGCTTCCTGCACCAAGTATATATAGTCACCATTTCCAGAGATCCCAAAGTCTTCATCTGAAAAGTCAATAGAGTATCCTTTCATCCTAATAACATTAATATCATAATCAGTCATCATAATAGCTCCTCTGCTGCTATTCGGTGCTGGTTGGTCTAGCTGGGCTTGGAAATAAATAACCTCAAGAGTTGGATGAGTTAGTGTCTAAAACCTCATTAAAGCATTGAAAATTAATTTCATAGATCACTTATAAGTCATCGAGATACTTCTTAATCTTAGTAATGAAATTTATTGCTTATTGTTAAAGACCAAATTTTCAAAAGAAACCCCAATTTTGAACCAAACTTTCAGAAATAAATGATGAAATATTAGTTGGGCACTCCAACCTTTATTTTGCTCAGAAAGTTAGTTATAACATGATAAAATCGTGTTCGGTCTGAAACAAGACTCTTTCGGAAAAGATTTATAAGCTGTCAAAACCAAAAATAAGAAGTCGTTGATTTATTCAGAAGGGAATTTATAAAATCTTGTTGGAAATTGATTTTAGCATTGAATTGAGTATCTTTAGTATTATAAATTTACCTTTAGCAGATTGTTATAAGAAATCGAATCAGCATGGATTGTTTTCTCAAATGACACTTGATCAATTTGGTCTTGAGAGGATCAGACCTTAGCTGCTCAAACCCCGATCAGCATTAACGCATTAACGAAGATTATAGTCATTTTATTATTTTAATATTATTGTTTTCCTACATGGGGTTTTGGGGTTTTGGGGTTTTGGGGTTTTGGGG